AATACCATAGATAGGCCTAAATAAAATGTTTTTAATTGTGTACCAGTTTAACGTTGAATATTATTTATGATTTTTTTTACGTTATTGTTCAGCTGTTGTTTACAGGTCGCTATAAATAATTATTGGTAGTTTTTGATATAGGACGTTTTAGGCTTAATTTCCAAATTAAGGCTACATTTTCTTTACTCAGTTTAGACACATTCTCCCCACCCCCTACTCCAATGGCTCCACAGTAAGTCTATGTGCTTTTAACGCTAAAACCCGGATTTCGATACCCGTGCTTAGTACAGCACAGATACTTTATTGTGTAGCTTTGTGTTTAACAACAAACAAATCTTTTAAGACATTAGATGTGTCATGATTAATGTGTTTTTTTTAACATGCCAATATAACTACAGGGGGGGGGGGATGAGCATTTATCAATGTAGTGATAAGTAAAGTCAACATTATAAACTTGAATACCTCGTTCACCGTCTATATCAGGGGATCGATGTATCCTGAAACTGGCACTTTTTACTCTAGGGTTCCTCTTGGCGTTGGAACACACATCTATGTAAGAATGAAACCAAATTTAATAGATCAGTGACAAGTATATTAACATTAACCACATGAATATAATTTAACGTTAATCACGTGAACATTACAGCTAACGTGCTTTTAGATAAGAGACTTTCATTAATCCCACTCCTTTTACCATGATTGTACACGTTCTCTTTAGAGATGTAATAACCAATAAATCAGTGAATTTATTCACCTACATTCTGTCTAAGTTACCTGCTTGACGGAAGTGACTCACCTGACCTACCGTCCTGTGCATGAAGACTAGAGGATTTCTTTCTGCTGTGTTCCTGTTTAAAATCATCATGTGACGTAATTGGTGAACTCGTAATGTTTTTAGCGTCATCTAGCGGCTGTGTTTGGTAACTCGCACTGCTTGGATGAAGAACTGAAGCAAAAAAAAAAGATTTCTAAATCTTCGAATAAAATGTCTTAATAAGTGTATCTATATATGGTGTGAACCTGATAACAAGACATAAACCGAGGTTTCTTTCCATGCAGTTACTGTTCTTATGAGTAGGCATACCTATAATCCATAGCATTTACTTTCTTAGGCCTAATATTGACTGAGAACGGTTGCACCTCATGTAGTTATGAACCAGTATCTACTGGTATGGTTTAGGGTTAACTGAAAACAGTGGAACCTTATGTAGTTAAGAACCAGTATCTACCAGTATGATCCGGCTAGTTACTAGTTACAAATTTAGGGTTTATAAAAGGTTTTAGAGGTAGTTTTCGACGCTAACTTGAGCTACTTTTCCTATCAGAAACAGACACTGTTTTTGTGTGTGTTAGATTTATTTAGTAAATTTGTGATTTGTTCTTGTACACTTTAATCGTATCTGAACAACATATTAACCGTGAAGGATTAAAACAAGGTTTGTTCAGGTACAAAGTCACTAAACGCCTACTGTTCCTCAGTTGTCACATCAACAGGTCACGTGTTAAGAATGTCAAAGGTTTACACTCGTAGAGTGCGCTGAGCTAGTCTTTCTGTGTGAGAAAACAGACATAACAGTGTTACAAGTGCTACAGGGACGACGTTAAAGCTATTGAACAACCCTCTGGTGGGCAAACGGTGTGTCACTAAGTGTATTCTATTAAAAACGCTCCAACAATATTGAGTAAGTTATGTTTCAATCTGTTTAAAGTAATCGTATATTTTATATCCTTGCCTACATATACGAACAAAAACACTTTTATTTGCTCGTTCCTTGCTAGAGCAGAAAGAAAGTTGTGTAAGTTTGTTTACCCTTCAAATAAACATGGCGCAGTGCAGCACGTGATCTAACGGCTTTATCTATAGGAAATAAAGAAGACGTAGGCTGATTCGAGAAATATCTAGGGAAGAGAAAAAACTTTGCCAACAACTTCAAATCTTAATTTACCATAGCAAAAAGTATTATGAATTGGTTCACAAAATTTAATACAGTCAATGACTGAGTCCTACGGTGGTTCTACGGAAAACCCGAGGGCTTATGACAATAAAATAGCCAGGGCTTATGACAATAAAATAGCCTTATGGTTATCAACAAAGAGCACTGTAGAAATAGCATTGTTTTTCCCAATATTCTCAAATGGACACGAATTATAACCTTACGAGGGTCATTGTTAAGCCTATTTCAATTAACAATCTGTAACTTTACTGATGGAAAGTGTTCAAGGAAGCGTGGTTTGGTTTGATCTGTTAGAAATTTCGCGCAAAGCTACTACAGGGCTATCTTCGCTACCCCTCCCTAATTTAACAGTGATAGATTAGAAGGAAGGCAGATAGTCAACACCACCCACCGCCAACTCTTGGGTACTCGTTTACTAACGAATAGTGGGATTGACCATAACATTATAATACCCCCATAGCTGATAGGGCGAGCATGCTCGGTGACGGAGATTCGAACCCGTGACCCTCAGATTGCGAGTCGAAAGGAAGGATGGAAATATCTGACTGAAAGAAGGATGGCAAGATGGCATTTATCTGTACAAAAACAAACAACAACGACAACTTATTGTGTTATTTAAATGAAGAAAGACCATTTTAGATCATTCTAATTGTTTCAGTTTTTAGGCTTAATAAATGATTTTATTTAGAACAGTTGTAAAATGGTGTTATCGTCATTTCGTTTGTTTGTTTTGGAGCAAAGACACATTTCGTTATCTACTGTGTATAAAAACAAAAACAAAAAAAACAAGTGTGATCCAGAACGAACAACACTTTAAATTTGTAAAGTTTTTTTTTTTGTCGATG